TTTGGCCAACTTTGCAAATTATATATAAAGTGCATTTAGAGAATTAATTTAATATAAAAGTTTTTGAAAATTTATTGACTATTAGAATATGGAGGGTGCATTTAACATTATTGACCCAACTTGGGACTATAAAAAAGAGTGCATTTAGAAAAGGTGTGCATTTAGAGAGGGTGCATTTAGGGAGGGTTCTCTGTATTAAATAAATAATTTTTTGAATTAATAATTTTTTTAAAGAAACTAGAAAATAATTGAATTATCTATCTGTTATCCTTAATTTTATAATAGCACTTGAGAGGCACTATTGAATGCTATTATGAAGGATATGTAGTATGTTGCATATTGAAAATTCAGGATTAGATAGTGATATTATAATATCATTAACAATAATATTCTCTTTAAGAGTTGGATGTAATATTTTTATAAAAACTAATAATAGGTCTTATAATGAAAAATAATTTTAATATTTGTTATTATACTTATATATATATATTATTATTATTTAAAATAGGTAAACACTATTTCTTTATTAATCCATATATTAGAAGGTAAATATATTGGAAAAAATGTATTGGTTTCCACAAGAACCTTTATTAATTTTTAAAACAAATCATCAAATTTTAGATCGTAATCATAAAGTAAAGAATACTTGAGCACTACGAAATTCATATTCTTAAGGGTTGTAAGATTAAAAGAAGGAATTTTAATATTACATACATCATTAAGAAGTTTGTCGATACTATCCATACTAGACTCAAATAATACCTTTGGTTGTGTGACTCGTTCTTTATAATAACCAACATAAAAATAGAAAAACTCAAGAAATTTACTATTATTGATCCCTCCCAATAACAAATGCGAGAAAAATTGAGAAAAAAAAATTTGAAAACCATTTTTTTTAGGAAACGGTCTATCAGTATACAATAAACTTTGAAACAATTCTTTAGTATCTCCATACAAAAAACCACCTTTAAGTTGATAACCCAAGTATTTTCTTTCCTCCATATCCATGGTATTGATAGTCCTCTCAATGTTAAGTTTAACTTCAAAATATTTAAACATCATCTGTGAGAACTTTGTGAGATCAAAAAAACCTTGAATGAAAAAAACAAAATCATCCCCTAGCCAATTGGGATCAAAAACTTTGCTCTCAAAATCGAGCTGATCTTCCAAGGAAAAAAGACGCATCATTGACATAATAGTCAGTCCAGCAATTGTGTTGAGTAAACTATTAATCAGCAATGTTCCAACCGTTCCTGAGATTAAACCAGCTAATTTTCTTCAAACCGTCCCATCTGAGAATAATACTTTTGTTTCAATAGCTTGTTTCTTAATATATTTGAACTCCATTCTATCTTCGTAAGTCATATCAATGAGACTACCCAATTCGTCAATGATCATTGAATAAAACCAAGATGCTCTGTAAGAATTTCATTCAGTAATGTTGGTGTTGATGAACCTTCAACCTTCACGTCTTCTGAGATATCTACTTAATTTAAGCATCGATTCCTTTCCAATAATCCAAATATTCTTAAAGAAATCTTTTGAATTGATCTGATCATAGAAAGGTTGATAATATCTGAGCTCCGCTAAGGTGTTAGATCCGGATAATACCCAAATAGGGCTAGTTTTCACATCTGTTCTTTCTGACAAGTGATCTCGCATAGAGAATATGCAATAATTGTCTGGCTCTTCCCCTGACAAAATCAACTTTCGATTATCAAGATATTTCTTCTTAATAAATTCAAGAATTTCTCCTTTAAGTTTCCGTTCTGTTGAACCAGAATACTCTAATCCGTTGAATCCAGCTGAAGTATTTTTGGACAGAACTCTTATAGCTTCCTGGTATGTGAGTGGCTTGACACGAGAAAAATTTCTAAAAACGTATCTGATGGCTTTTTTGAGGTTTGTTCAAAAATAATGCTCTCTCTGTCTTGGCCGCTTGTGCTTTGGATACAAGTACTGAAGAAGTGAAAAGAACATTTTTCCTGTTCTTGATGCTTTATTTTTATCGCAAAGTTCATAATAATATGCAGGATTATACTCTTTTATGGCCTCATAAATGAAAGGGTCTCGATATTCTTTTACGTAACCGTCTCGAAAATTGTATTTCCATTTGGTTTGTTTGATGAATTTCCATGTTGGACTATAAGACATGAAGGATTTAAAAGTTTCTAATGATACTTCATGGTTTTTATAAACAGGATCATTATGTACATAAGCAAATTGCCAGCATCCACAAGTAGGTTGTTCACCCAACCACTTGTAATCATTAAGTAAAGGCTTGTTATATTGATAAGGGCGCTTAAGAAAAGTGTACTTTGGGTCATGTATCATAATGAAGGTGGGTATATAGATACACAAAAATCAGGTACTTAAATACTATATTTACTACCATTACATCAATGATCTTTACAAAGTAAATTAATCATACTTCAAGTGACATACAGTAAGTGATTTAGTAAGAAAAAATACAGACCGTATGTCACTTATCATTATGCTAATATTAAAGCTAAACATTATTAACACTATATGTGAATATGGAAAATGGTCATTTTAGAAAAATATTTCTTGTCAATTCAAAATATCACAGTAAGCCTTTCACCAAAGACTATTACTCCAACATAATCTCTGTAGTGTCGAGAAATTATTATTATTTTTTAAGAAAATAAAAAAATAAAGAAAAAAGAAAAGTATTAATAAAATAAAACTCTTTTAATAAATTGTCATTTAATTATTTGCAGTTGAAAAATTTATTTAATTTTTATTATTCTATTGCTAATCAAAAATGTTTTATGCTTGAAGATTTTTGATAATAAAAAATATTAATTTTTTATTTGTAATTTTTTTTAAATTATAATCTTATTTAACCAGTAAATGATTTCAAACCCTTTTTTTCCAATCATTTTTAAAATAATAAAAAATTAAAAAATTGTTATTATATTAAAATAAAATTTTTTTTTAATCTTGAAAAAAAATAAAACTAATATAAGAAAAAAAGATAAACATTAAATTATTTCTTATTAAAAAGAATATTTTAATATCAGTTAATAAAAGTTCACATGTAATGCACCTAGCCTTAAAAAAGAATTTCTTAATATCTTGTTTTTTTTATTAATCAATAATATTTCTAAATTTATTATATATTCTTTAAAAAAATTTTTTAAAATATTTTCTTTCTTTTGAAAGAAAACTTTTGCTAAAGAATTTGCAAATATATTGATTAGTAATATTATATTATACTTTTTTTAAAGATATAATTTTTTCTAATAAAGAAGTTATAAAATCAAAAATAACTCTTTTTATTTTTAAATAAATTATTTTAAATAGCAAACTGAAAATATTATTAAGTTTAATTTGGTCTATATATATGTATAAATTATTTGCTATTGGTTTAATTTTTAAAATCTTTAAAATAATTGTATTATGTTTCAATTATTTATTTATTTATTTATTTTCCTATAATTAAACAAGTATTTATTATAGATTTGTGGATCTATAGTGCAATAATTAGTATTTCACAGGTTTGATCACAAGATATCAATTCAATTCCAAATAAAGATGATTGAATAGAACCTATATAATATCTGGTACCATAATCAATAGTATGCTGTTTCTTATAAAAAGTCACTTTATATTCTGATTTAGTAGATATTGAGATTGTGATCTTTAGAAAAGATGTCATAGTATGACGATTATCTGATTGAAGTATAATAATTACCAGAAGTTGTCTTATAATGATTGAACTTAATTACTAAAGTAAAAAGATCTTGAAATTAGTACAAGAAACCATGACCACCTGCATCTTTATATGGTTATCATGTAACAAGACAGAGTATGCAGGAGTTGTATTTTGCTTAATATTTATATCCCTAGATTTGATAACTTATGCCAACTGGCCTATCTGAAGTGTCTAATAAGAATTTAAGAGAAAGTTCCTTAAGAAGTCATATCTTACTTAATCAAAATGGTCCTTAGATTTGATAGTCAGTACTAATTAACAATAAAATTGGAGCATTCACTAGAGAGTGCATACTTGTATTAAAGATTCCAGCTATTATATATGGTGTATGCAGAATGGAAGTATAATATAATAGGTATTTACTTAAGTAGTTATAGAACTATTACATAATAATAAAAGTCAGAATTAGGACTTCTAATAATATCACTTTGATACCACTTTGATATCAATTTGATACTTAAATTTATTATAAAATCATATAAGTAGGCCACAACCCATATACTAAATTTACTATAAATCGATACTATTTTGATATCAGTTCAATATTAATTCAGTACTTTTTAGAGCCCTAGTCAGGATATTAATCTACTTATTGGATGTAAGTTAATAGTCTAATAAAAAGGATAAATAGCATTAGTTAATAAACTGTTCATATAACTGAAATAACTTGATCTTAATTAATTAATAAAAATCACATATGTATCATACTTAGTCCTTAAAAAAAAAACAAGTATTTATTATATTTATTTAATTATTGAAATTAAAAATATACTAGTACAGAACTTTTATGTATATATAAACTAAGCTAATACCTATTAATTAACAATTTTTAAGTATAATATTAAAGATAAATAAATTTGCTTGCTTATTTTTTCTATTTTTAAAAAAAATTAAATTCATTATTATAGTTATTTTTTTTTTTCTGTAATTAATCAAGTATTTATTATATTTATTTAATTATTAAAGTTGAAAACATACTAGTTGTTTCAATTATTTATATATTTTAATAATAACTTAATTAATTATATTAAATAATTGTATCAATTGTATTAAGAATTTAAGAATTTTAATAATATATATAGTTTAATTTTTTAATAATAAAAAGTTAAATGATATTTTTTATATAGTTAAAAGATATATAATAATATAATATAATAACAATATTAATATAGCAAAATATATAATTATAAATAAAAACAAAGATTAATATTTTTTACTTTTTCTTATAAACTTTATTTATAATATAATATTTAATTTTTTGTTTATATAAAAAAAAACTCTTTTTCACAATACTTTAATTTATAAAAAAATTTTTTTTTAATAATAATATAAATAGTAGATAATAAACAGTTAACAAAAATCTTTTACTGAAAAAAAAGTTTATCTTTATTTACTGCAGGATATAAGAAATCAATTAACTTTCTATAAAGAGTAAATGTTTTGGAAGAAGGCAGAAATCTCTTTGAACAAACTTTTTGCTTTATCAAATAAAACTTATATAAGCAATTTTCAAATTAAAAAAACACCTTTTATTCATTTTTATATAAAACATACTCAAATTATTATATTAATATTCTTTCCTTTTCAATATCCATATATACTGTATATCAAAAGACGGTATTTTATTTTTTCAGAGTTTTTGTTTTTTGTTAATGATAACTAGTATAAGGTTATTTACAATCTTCTAACTAGTTTTCAATTCTTATCTATTTTCTTATCCAAAAATCAAATCTAGTTTATTTCTATCAAAAGATCTACTGTGTATTTACAATATACTAATAATATTCTATATTATAATATTAATAATTAAAATATCAAAACAATTATATGTATTATCAAAATTATTACAAATCACAAATATAGCCAGATTGAAAAAATATATAACAGTGTTCTATATGGATTTCAACTATATAATTTATTAATTTCTTATATTAATATTTCAATTTATTTAATTATACTTATTATTACTATTATATTTCTACTATTGTTAACAATAAAATAGTATATTGAAAAAATAATTAAACCAGTTGTTAAAACAAATTTTATATTTTTTTACTATTTACTTTTCTCTACAATTTTACTTTTCTTTTTTATATCTTTTTTTCACAATTTTGAAACCCTTAGTTTTTTTGTCTTTAAGTAGATAACTTCTTTCTTTTTTTCATTAAACAAATTTTTTTAGGAATATATTTACTATATAGATGATAGGCTAGTATATATAGTAATATATATTTAGATTTAGAAATTAATTATATACTGTTAAAATTCATATTCAATTAATAAAATCATGAGAAAAATCTTACTTTAATTTTAAAAAAAATTTTTTTAAATTAAATATTTAGTAATTGAATATTATTTGATTATAATAAATAGTAACAATAATATTTTATTTGAAACAAGAAGCAAATAATCAATCCTAGTTAGAAATTTTTTAGATTAAATTAAAATTATTAAAAAAACATAAAAAGTTTGAATTAATTATAAACTTAAATAAAAATTACAATAATATATAAATAATTTTTTATTAGAAAAATATATATTTTTTTTATCTTTAAAATTTTTTTTAAATTGTTAAAGTGAGGCTTTTCTTATGATTTTATTAATTGAGTATGAATTTTGTCGATACATAATTAATTTTTAAATCTAGAGATGTATTACCATGCATACTAGCCTACTACCTATAAAGTAGATATATTCCTAAAAAAAACTTATTACAAGGAAAAAAAAGAAAGGAAC